GCGGCCGGCGTGCCGTTGACGATCGACGACTTTGAAGTCATCAGCGAGAAGGTCCCGTTCCTCGCCGATCTCAAGCCCAGCGGCAAATATGTCATGGAAGACCTGCACAAGTACGATTCGCGCATTGGTGTATCGCACAGGACTCAGTCATGCTTAGGGTCGGTGGCATTCCCGCCGTGTGCAAGTACCTCTTGGAGAAGAATATTCTGACGGGCGACGTACTTACGATCACGGGCAAGACGCTGGCCGAGAACGTTGCAAACGTCCCAGGTCTCTCGGACAACCACAAGATCATCCATCCGGTCGAGACGCCCATCAAGGCGTCGGGGCATTTGCGCATCCTCCGCGGCAACATGGCGCCCGAAGGCTCTGTCGCCAAGATCACGGGCAAGGAAGGACTGCACTTCAAGGGCGAGGCGCGTGTCTACGACTGCGAGGAAGACATGATGAAGGCGCTCGAGGACGGCGAAATCTCAAAGGGTCACGTCATCATCATTCGCTACGAAGGCCCCAAGGGCGGACCGGGCATGCCCGAAATGCGTACGTTGTTTGTTTCTACTCGTACGCTCATCAACTAATCTCTCTCTAGTCACATGCACGTCGGCCATCATGGGCGCTGGTCTCGGCAGCGACGTGGCCATGCTCACGGACGGTCGCTTCTCGGGTGGCTCGCACGGTGCGTGAAAAGCTCCAAGCCATCGGAGTCGCTCATCTTGGCCCGTAGGCTTTATCATTGGCCACATTACGCCCGAGGCCCAGGTCGGCGGCCCCATTGCGCTCGTCAAGACGGGCGACATTGTCGAGATCGACGCTGTCCAGAACCGCATCGACATCACCGGCGTCTCGGAGAACGAGATGGCGTCGCGGGCAAAGGCGTGGCGCGCGCCGCCGCTCAAGGCCACGCGTGGCACCCTCTACAAGTACATCAAGAACGTCTCGTCGGCGTCGCTGGGCTGCGTCACGGACGAATAAGCATAGTGTCGTAAAAACAATTGCGTATGTATCTAGTCCGATGGCGTGTCGACGATCCAGAGCCGCAGCACCATCTCGTGCGGAGCGGCTTCGTCCGGAAGCCACTCGGACGCCACTTGAATGTCCTTCCGCAGCTGCATGAGCCGCGTGAGCAATCTAGCGTCCTCCTGTTAGCTACGAAGAGTTGCTTTTGCGTACTTGATGAAGCGGTTGCCGACGTCGGTCTGGAGCTTGGTGATCTCGAGGGCGCGCGCGCGGAGGTCGGCCGACGTCTTTCCATCGAGGAGGTGCCCGATCCACGTGAGGCAAAATGAAAACTTTTTGAGGCTCATCTTGCAAATGTCATGGCTACGGTCCTTAGCACCCAAGTCCTGGAAGAAGAGAGACGCACCGAAGCAAGTCGAGGAGCTCATCCTCCGGCTCCAAGCGCGGGTACTGGGACAGCATGCGCTGCAGCACGCGGTCAAAGAGCTCTTCGTCGTGGTCGTGGCCGTGCACGCCGTACGCGTAGCACTTGTCGCAGAGCTCGACATGGGCGCAGCTCCGGCAGACCCATTTGGGTCCTACGATGGGGCTGCGCTGGCAGCCGTCGCACGTTGCCTTCTCGTGCACGAACCGCGTGGGTGTCCGCTGCGGCGTCGACGAGCGGGAGCTCAAGCCCATGAGTTTTTTCGCTTTGGACGAGAGCGAGTTGAAGCGTGTCGGCTGGTGGGCGTCGGGCGACGGCTCAGCAGAGCCACCACTGACGTACGGGCTCGTCGGATGGTTCATCATGGCGCTCGTCGACCCGCCAGAGACGCGGTGATTGTAATTCATTGGCGGGGTCGGTGGCGCCTGGAGCGCGCGCGAGACAAAGTACGGCTTGGTCGAGTGCAATTCTCGTGGCCCGTGGAGCACCGCGATGGAGGCGTCGCCCGAGTCGTGGAGGCTAAAGAGGTGGTCGGCGCCGTACGGGTTGGGCTTGGACTGCGACGAAATGCGCTCGCGCGGACTCGGGAGGATGTCGTGGAGCGATGCGGCCGTGCTTCGGCGCTCGTGCTCCTCCTCCGAGACGATGCGGGCGTCCGTCACGATCGACCGGCGCATGCGCGTGTACACCTGGACGTGCCGCCCGTCCCGCGAGAGCACGGGCATCAAGCTCACGAGGAGGCCGTCGAGAGCCTCGGGTGGCAAGTTGGGCAGCACCTCGTCGATGTTCACATGCGCACCACCGACGACGGGCTCGATCATCTTGAGCAGCTGAGAACGCACTGGCGGCGGGAGCTTGTTGAGCTCCCGGTACAGCGCCGACGTATCACCGCCGTCGTCGTCGTCATGGGTCATCGGCGTCGTGTACAGGATCCATCCCTTCTCCATCTCGGAGGACCGCTGCAGCGAAGACCGGTCCGCGACGGGCGGCGCCGCCTTGACTTGCACATCGACGCTTGACAGCGTTGCACGTCGGATGTCGTCGAGTTCGCCGTGCACCTGACGCAGTCGCTCGCGCGCTTGCCGAAGGTTGTTGCTATGAACGTTGATGTCGTGGTCCTTCAGTGCCATCAGCTGCGAAAGCTGGGCATTCTCTTTCTGCGCTGCGAGAAGCTGCGTCCGAAGCAGCTCGTTCAGCCGCGTCGAGGAGCTCGCAGCATGCGTCGATGGCGGCTTCACCTTCTCTTGTCGCTGTTCTGAGCGCTTCCGCGCATCTTGGGCAACTTCGAGCATCGCGCGCAGCGCTGTGGCTTCGCTCGCCCTCGCCGCAAGCTCCCGCTTGAGGTACGCGACTTCGGTCTCGAGGCTCTGCGCTGCGTGCTGCGTCGCGACGAGCAGCTGATGAGACGAAGAGAGCGACGCCACCTGCTTCCGCAGCGCCTCGAGCTCTTGCCGGTGCTCGACCTTGGCGGCCGTCGGCCCATGCTGGTCCATGACACGAAATCCTCAACGAAATGACGGCGCCATCCAGGACTTAGCCTGTTAAAATTCGGCCCCAAGGCACTATAATTAGGAACTTAAGTCCTTGTTTCGTTGAGGCTCTAATTTGAAGTCAATGACGTGGCGCGCGGAATCGTCTCCACTCAACGGGCACGACGTCGACGTCAGGCAGACCAAGGGAACAAGACATAATGTGTTTCCCAAGTGGTAGACAGTCGTGTCGCGAGCACTGGCGAAATGAGGCTAATAACTTACGAGCTACCACTATTTATTGAGAGAAAAGGTAGGCAACTCCTTCCGTTGCATGTGCATTCAAACCCAAGGAGAGGTAATGCGAAGTTTATTAGTCAGTAGGCGGTGAGATGGCTTGACTGGGACGATCAATTTACCGGTAGTACGTCGGACGCATGCTTGAGTTCGAAGCTTTGCCGTTATGTCATCGAGATCCCTTTGAATGTTGACTTCAAGTACGTATGAAATGACGATCCGTGTACATACACCAACACTTGGCTGCTTGCAAGACGCGCGGAGGAGCTCTGCAGAGGGTGCTGCAAGTCAGTGTACCCGTCCCTTCATCATCAATCGTCACGAGCATCTTCATCGGCATCGCACGCACAGTATCCGGAACCGGATACCGTGGCGCCATTCAGTGGCACAAACAGACATGAACGAGCGTTTGGCCGTGGTGCACGTGGAGGTGACGCAAGTCGACCGGTTCCGCACCCGAATCAGCGCTCTGGAGGGCGTTACCGTCGCCTCTGTCGCACCGCCGCTTCTCTACGTGCGCTATCCAGCAGCCCAGTGGCCGATTCTCCAGGATATCTGCTGCGCTGGCCGCATCGCCGCCCACCGCGTGTACCATGTCGACGCGACGTGCCGGGACCCTGGCTGGATTCTATACAGCGCAGCAATGCTATCGACGCGCAGTGAAACCTTTCGAGTGATTGCGTACCCGAGCTCGCTCCAAACGGGTCTCGTCGCCCTCCTCGCCGAGCACGGGATCGCGACCGACCCGAAGCGCTACACGCACGAGCTGCACGCGGTTCATGACGCCACCGTCTTTCGCTTTGGCGTCGTGCCGCGCCGAGTCGTTGCGGAAGCTCCGCTGGCGGACGACGTGCCGTGCCGGGCCTACCACAAACTTGCTGAAGCGCTTCTCGACCAGACGCCGTTTCCGACAGGCTACCGAGCGATCGACATTGGCGCGTCACCGGTGGGTGTTGCTCCAGTCGAGCAGCGTGTCACCTTGTGAATAGGGTGGCTGGACCGAGTTCTTGTCGTCGGCGGGAGCGACCGTCGTTGCTGTGGACCCCGGCGAGCTCATTGTGACGCACCCGAACGTACTGCATGTACCACTGCTTCTCGAACACGCGCTCGACCAGATCTCGGCCATGGACAAGTTTCACGTGTGCGTTTGTGACATCAATATTCGCCCGCAGCTCATGGCCTCGCTGATTGCGTCGGTGGCGCCGCACTTACATCCGCACGCAATTGTCGTGCTAACGCTCAAGCTCAGCAAACGCCCGACCGACGCCGCCGTCGACCAAGCGATCCGCGACGTCTGCCACGTCCTCGGCGACGAGTTTGAGCACTTTCGCATTGAGTGGCTTCATGCCAACACGATCAACGAGCGCACGCTCTTTGCCCGTAAGCGATAGAGAGGTTCTATTTACCACCATCATATACTACTAGTATGGATTTGCGTGACCAAGCGACGCGCCAGTACCTTGCGCTTAGTACACTCTCGCCGCTGGTGAGAGCTCGGCTGTCGCGACCAGGCTCTCCGAGTGCTCGCTGTGCAAGGCAACAACGCAGCGGCAATACGTGGACTAGTGTCCAAGATAGACCAACGAGAGCGACAGTCGACCGGGAACAGTTGCAAGCTCTCCTGTAAAGCGTCATGTGTTGTAGATATCCCCGTGATATGTCACCATCAATGCTGGTGATGTGCATGACCCATGCCGTCGGCTGCAACACGCTTTGCTCGTGCTCGTCACCAGCAAATTCAAGAATGAATGAGCGGACCAAATGCTCCGCTTGGAGGCTACTCCCAAGTCGCCTCGTTACCATGGATGACCATGGATGTTACCGGTATTCAACCCAGCTCGACACAAAGCTGATACGCATTCGAGCACCAACGTCACTCATGCCGGTTACGAAGCTACTTGAAGCGGCGGCTTCTTTCTTCACTACTCGTAGACCCCGAGCGGCATTCGCAAGCTAAGACCACAACGCGGCATGTCGAGACATGTTCTTCAAAGAGCCGATGCAGTAGACAGGCGATGCCAACAACCACCGTTCTTCGTGGCTGCATCTGCATCGCTACGATGCAG